GTGAGCTTCATGGTGACTACTGCAATAGGGACTTAACTTTCACCTCTGTGGAGCAACCAAAGGCAAAAACAAAAGGTTGTGTGTTTTGGGAGTCTCTTAGACAGATGTGGACAACAACTTAAATGAAGATTTTTCATGATTGAAATTGGGATTTTTACCAGGTGTCTTGGCTCTTGGAAGGAGTAGTGTCAGATCAGATGAGAAAAGTTCTTTAGACCATGCATGTTTTCTGCTGTGATATTTCATTTCTTAGTAACATCAGAAGCTTATATCCATGTTTTTGATGAAATGGTCATTTTTGCAAGGTTAACACTATCAATTTATGAATATGAAATGTCTTTCCATTTTTTAATGCTTTTGTATAATTTTGTCTTCAGATACTTGAAATATTTATTATAGAAGTTTTTTACTTCTTTGGTCAGGTTTATTCCTAGTATTTTAACTTCTTTGGGGCTGTTATGAATGTAGTGTGTCTACAAACACATTCTCTGTGAGTTCTGGTTGTCAATAGATAAGCTATTGTTTTGTGCCTATTGACTCGGTATCCTGCCATGTTACTAAATTTGTTTTGCTATGAGTTTTCTGGTAGGATTCTTGGAATAGCTAATATATAATATTTTATGATCTGCAATTAGGGATATTTTGAAATTTCCTTTTTCTATTTATATCACTTCACTTTTTTTCTCATCTCTCTGCTTCAGCCAGTGCTTTGAGCACTTGGTTCTTGGTAGCAGGTTGAACCTGAGTCTGGATATCATTGTGGGCTTAGTTGGCATTTCAGGTCACCCAGGTTGGCAGGGCCTCAGGGTCAGTGTGACCCCAAAAGGCCAACATGTCCTCAGGTGACATCCAAGACTCTGTGCCTTCAATGGTAACTGGAGTCACAGATATCACCACAGACTCTGGGTGTAGTAGAACCACGAACCCAGGCATGGGCCCACGGTATACTTTTTGTCCAGATGACACTATGATCTTGGGTGCTAGCCTGACCACTAACTATCAACAGGTCATCAGGTGTCAGCCCAGATTACAGGTCTCTACATAGCCCTCAGTGGCAAAAAGAACCAGACATCACCACTGGCTCCCCCAGATGTGCCAGGGCCTCAGACCAAGACTTGGCCCTTGGCAAGAGTCCAGTCCTGGACAACGTCTTGAACTCAGGTGGCAAGCAGGTCATTCATATCAGCCTTTCCCTCACCACCTTCACCTCTTCAGATCTGCTTCTCTCCTCAACCCATGAATCATTTAGCTTTTCTTTTTCTCCCATTTACCCACCCTGTACTCACTTACCATAATGGTGGCTTATGAGTCCATGATTGCGTTCTATCTGCCCACGCTGAAAGGCATGGCACACAGCTATTTCTGTTCTCTCTCCTGCACTTGGGCCTAGAAACCTATCATATTATATTTCTATATATTTCTTACATATGTTGAAACTTTCTTGTATTTCAGGAATAAAGCTAACTTGGCCATGTTGTTTCATCTTTCTTATGCATGTGTTTACTATGTCCACTAGTATTTGGTTGAATATTTCTGAGTCTTACTTTTTTTTACATGATATTGGGCTGCAGTTTTCTATTTTTGTTGTGTCTATACCTGGTTTTGGCCTTAGAGGGATTCTGGATTTGTTGAAAGAGTTTGGGAGCACTCTTTCTGTTTCTGTTTTCAAAAGTAGTTGAAGAAGGATTGGCTATAAATCTCTGAAAGCCTAGTTGAATTCTGCTATGAATCCTTTTGGACCTTGTTTTTTAAAATTTTAGCTGGAAGTATTTTCATTACTATTTCAATCTCATTTTTGAGCATCTGTTTTTATTAAGAACATCTTGGTTTAATATGGTATTGGAAATTTAGTTTGGAAATCTCTGCTTTGTCTCTTTTCTAGCTTCATAGGCTATAGTTTTTAGTAGGATACAGGTTTTGAAATATTTGCTTATAATGTTTTAAAATTCTTTGGTATCAAATGTCTTGTTTCGCTGTTGAATCCTGATTCTGTTAACTTGGACACTTTATTTCTTCTGGTTAATTAGTCCAGGGTCTTACATTCTTGTGCATCTTTTGAAATATGTAGTTGTTAGAGTTGTTAACATTTGTATTTCTCTCTTAGTTTTAATTTCATTGATTTTTACTTTGATTTTTATTATTTCATGCTTTTTACCTGGCTTGGATTTGATTTGGTCTCCATTTTTTGAGTTGTGTCATTAATCTATTTGTGTATATTTGAGTATTTTTAGGTTAACCATATATTTATCATTTATTTATTGTGTAAATATGTGTGGGCACCTGGTGCTGCACATGTGACGATCAAAACACAACTTGTGGTAACTGTTTTAACTATACTGGGTTAATTTGTTTTTCCATATGAAGTTGGGTATTCTCCCTTCAAGGTTTGTGAAGAATTGTTCTTGAATTTTGGTGGGGATTTGCATTGAGTCTGTAGATTGCTTTTGGTAGGACAGCCATTTTTACTATATTAATACTAATACTCCATGAATATGGGAGATCTTCAATTTTTTTCTTCAAAAACTTGAAGTTTTTATCATATAACTCTTTCACTTGCTTGGTTATAGTTACCCCCAAGATAATTTATATTATTTGAGGATATTGTGAAGGGTGTTGCTTCCCTGATTTATTTCTCAGTCTATTTGTCATTGTCCTTAGTAGGGATACTGATTTTTATGAGGTAACTTTGAATCCAGCTATTTTTGCTGAAAGTGTTCTTTAGCAATGGGAGTTTTCTGGTAGAATTTAAAGGGTCACTAATGCATGCTATCATATTATCTGCAAATAATGATAATTTGACTTTTTCCTTTCCAATATATTTTGTAGCACAAAATCTTAAGAGTCATTAAATAAATAACTAGTGACAATGTTCCTCAAATTATTCCACAAAAGAAACTCAAGGGTCAGTTCTCATTCTTTTAAAGAAATCATTATTATTCTGATATCAAATCATAAAAGACCCTACAAAAATAAAAAATTATAGACATATATTCCTTCTGAACATAGGTTTAAAAATTCTCAACACAATAAAGTACCTGCAACCCAAATTCAAGAAAGTTTTGAAAGTATCCACCATGTAGGAATGTTTCAACCTAGGCAAATCAATAAACATAATATACCACGTAAATAGACTTAAGTACAAAATCTCCATCATCTTCTCATTAGATATAAATAGTCTTTTGTCAAAAATCCAACACCTCTTTATGATAAAAGTCCTGGAGATACTAGGGATGAAGCAGATATAACTCAACATATTAAAGGGAAGTTACAATAAGGACACAGACAGCATCAAGATAAACAGAGAGAAACTCACAGTATTTTACCTAAAATCAGGAAAAAGACAAGGATTTTCATTGTCTCATTACCTACTCATTATTATATTGGAAGTGTTAACTAGAGCAATAAGAAATGTGAAAGAGACTAAGGGGGTACAAACAAGAAATGAAGAAGTCAAATATATTTAGTTGCAGGCGATATGATTTTATATATAAAATACCCTAAAGACTCTACTGAGCAACACATATAGCAGACAATCGCTTTCAACAAAATATCAGGATAAATTGTAAGACACAGAAATCAGTAGCTTTCTTAGATACAAATCAGAATGGCCAAGATCAATAAAACATGCTGGCAAGAATGCGGAAAAATAGGAACACACATTCTTAGCTAGTGGGAATGCAAACTCGTGCAGTCACTATGGAAATCAGGTAGAGTTTCCTCAGGAAGCTTGGAATTAATCTACCTCAAGATCAAGCTATACCACACTTGGGTTATACCCAAAGTACTCTGAATCCTAATATAGAGATACTTGCTAATCATGTTCATTGCTGCTCTATTCTCAATAACCAGGAATTGGAAGAAGCCTAGGTACCTAACAATGGATGGATAGAAATGAAAACATGGTACATATATGCAATGAAATATCATTCATAAATTAAGAAAAGTGAAATTATGAGAATTATAGGTAAATGGATGAAGCTGGAAAATAATTGTCCTGAGAGAGGTAATCTGATCCTCCAAAACAAACATGCCACATTTTTTTATGTGGATGTTAGCTTTTGAACTTTGATAAGGTATACTGCTTTCAGAATAACCACAAAAGTTAGATACTTAGTAAGATGTTGGGGGTGGGAGAAGATCTTTTAAGAAGGAAAAATAGAATACAGTATTATGGAAATACAAAAGGAAACCAGGATATGATTATGGTGGTTTGACCCAATAGAGGTTTCCTATCTAAAGCATGCAAAGAATTATTAAAAACTGGACATAAGAAAATAATATTTAAAAAGTAGAATGCAGTACTAAGCAGACAATTCTCAAAAAGAGATACACAAGAGGCTGAGAAATTGAAAAAATAATGTTCTATGTCCTTAGTCAGCAGGAAAAAGAAAATCAGAGCTACTTTGAGATTTCATTTTATATGAGTCAGAGTGGTCAAGAAAAACAAAACGTTCAAAATAATTGTATTTACTTTCATGTACATGTATGAATGCTTGCAATATGTGTTTGGTACATGTACAAACACGTGAATCTTAGAGAGCATTTTGCAAGAGCCAGTCCCTTCCTTCCACCATGTGGGCTTCAGGTATTGAAATGATGTCCTAGAATTGGAGTCAAGTGCCTTTGTGCACCGAGCTGTCTACTGGTCTAGATGCTGCTGTATACATGTGAGAAAACTGTTTTGAAAACAATTTTACAGTAATATTTATAAATTTTTATATTTTCAGAGAATACACGAGAGAAAAATGTGCTAATCTGGAGATTTGTTACTTCACATTATTCACTGCAAACCTAAACATTGAAAATTTTATTTAGGAAGTAAAATATTTTGCTAAATATCAGAGATGTAGGGACATAAAAATTCCAGGACTTAGGACCAATAAAAACATGTATTTCAATTTGTTAAAGCATGATTTTAGAAAAACATGGTGATAGAAGTCTCAGATATTGTACTTTACTAGAAATCTAGTCATTTTGATTAATTCTAGGCATGCAAACTCTCAACAAAGGACACATTGTTCAAGTGACACAAGCCTACTTAAAAGATTTCTTATAGCAACTTTCATGTCCTTGTTCCTTAAACTGTAGATAAAAGGGTTCATCATTTGAGGAAGCACAGAGTACATCACTGAAGCCACTGCAGATTTTCTTGGTGAGACACTCATGGCAGAGCTTATATATACCATAAAACAAGCCCCATAAAACAAGGAAACCACTGACAAGTGAGTCCCACAGGTAGAAAAGGCTTTGTACTTTCCCTCCAGTGAAGTTATCCTCAAGACTGAAGCCACAATGTGATAATAAGAATAAATGATTCCACACACAGGAATGCCACCAAATATGCAAGTTGCAGCAAAGACCACAATGTTGTCAATGAGGGTGTCTGAACAGGACAGCTTGATGACCTGATCAAGTTCACAGAAGAAGTGGGGAATTTCCAGATCTGTGCAGAAGGACAGCCGTTGCACCATGAGAGTGTGCATCAGGGCATCCATAATACTAATGAACAGAGAGATTAGTGAGAGCAGAAAACAAAAGTTAGGATTCATAATGATAGTATACTTTAAGGGGTGACATATAGCTACGTAGCGGTCATAGGCCATCACTGTGAGGAGAAAATTTTCAAAGTATGCGAAAACAAGGACAAAGAAGAGCTGTGTGAGGCAGCCTGTGTATGTGATGCTCTGATCATCTTCTTGGATGCTCATCAGCATCTTAATGACTGTGGCTGTGCTGAAACCAATGTCATTAAAGGACAAGTTGGAGAGAAAGAAGTACATGGGAGTATGCAGGTGGGACTGAAAACTTATACTTAGAATTATGAGCAGGTTTCCCAGTATTGTGACCAAGTATATGAACAGGAAGATGCTGAAGATGAGAGACTGGAGTTCTGGGTCATCTGTAAATCCCAGAAGAAGGAATTGTAGTACAACTGTTAGGTGTTTGGGCTCCATGTTGCTTGTCAATCTTTGAGGAAAAATGGGACAAAATTGAAATCTAATTAATCAAATCTTAATAGGAAAAGCAGCAGCACAGTGCACCAGGATAAAAGTAAAAATTATTGTCTTACTGAATGCTAGTTGTGTTGTTGAGAATGAATAGTTAAAATTTTCACAGATGTCTTTGTAGTATTTTATCTTTCTTTTGTTAATTAAATTTCCTTTTTGACAATTTTATTTGTGTGTATAAATGCATTCTAATTACTGTCACCCCATCATATATCCCTTTCACCATCACCCACCCTCCTCCTTCCCCACTGCTCTTCCAGGTCCATGTCCTTTTCTTTCATTTGGTGAATAACTGAGTTTTACCAGGACCATCTGTGTGATCATGGTTTGTAACTTCATAGCTGCACAGGGTGTTCACCAGTTGGCATACAGATGAAAATGTATCTTGGCTATGAATTTTCAATGTCCACTTCATTGACCATTTTCCTTCACCATCTAAAAAGGTTTCACAATCTCCCTATATACTGCCAACAGCTGTAAAGCAAGATTTCAAACTCTCGAGCTTATGGGAGGCATTTCATGTGCGTGGTATGATCCATTTATTAAAAGCAAAACACAGACTCAGGTGTTGATTTTAGCTTCTAATAACTTGAGGTAAAGTCTCTTTCTTGCTAATATCCACTTACGACTGAGTAGAGACCATGCTTGTCTTTCTGGGTCTCTTGGGACAGACCTAGGAATCTGCATGTGCGTGACAGTTGTGTAGCTGAGTTTGTAAGCCTCCTAGAAGTGAGATCAGGACCTGTCTCTGGTGCTTAGCTGGCTTTTGGGACCCTGTTCCCCATGTTGGATTACCTCACCCAGCCTTGACAGAAAGGGAGGAGTTATGCCTTGACTCCATGTGCCATGCTTTCTTCAAGCCCATGGGAAGCTGCCCCTTCCTGAATGGAGACAGAGTAGTTGATGGGGAGTTGGGAGCAGCGACTGGATGACAGGAGGGAGGGGAAACTGTGGTTCATATGTAACATAGATAAAAATATTATTTAAATAAAAAATAAAAGGAAGTAAATACAAAGAAGTTTATTTGTTGTTTTCACAATACAGCACAGCAGGATATTTGGACCAGGTCTTTATGAGGACATTTCCTGTAACCACCTCTCATTTCCTAAAGTCTGTACTAAGATTATACATGTGTGCACTACCTTTTTCAGCTTTTATATGGGTTTAGATATCATCGCACATGTGTTCTAAATGCCCTTACAGATGAAGCCATGTTCTCTGCATAGCACCTATCTTTGATTCTTGTTTAAAATATTTTTCACAGCTACAATTAAAATTGGCATAATGAAAATGACATTGAGGTTTTCAGCCTTTTCAGATCTCTTCCCAGATTCCTTACATGTCTTCACAAAGGCAAAGTCAGACAACACGGAGAATAAGAAGGCTGTGATTGTTTGGGACAGAGTTATGATTGCCCCATGTTTCATTTGTTACATGGTTTATCCTAAGTAATTTAGACCCTGATTGTACAGGGGCAAAGCCAATTATGAAGAGAGTCAATTTAGAATTTGTTCAAAAGTTCATATTCTTATCCTATACAAAATATGGTCTTACGGGGATATAAAATTATCACAGTGACATAAAGAGGACAGACCACATCAAACAAAGACAATACCCATATACACCCAAATGACAGTGTATTCTGGCTGACCTTGTCATTAAACATATGTAACATTCCACAACTACTAGCAAAATGTTGTGAACAATCTATCCTGTATGTGGTAATTTGCTATTGAAGCCTGTGAGAGCTAATATACTATCTAGTGCAATCATTTGCTTACACCACCAAAGGGCATAATATTAAAAGTCTTATTTAAGACAGATATCATATTTGAGAAGAAACATATTTCTATTTTAGAAGAAAATGGCCCTGTATCCTCTGAAGACAAGTAATAGATATCTATCAGAATTAAAGAAAGCTGAATGAAAATGACAGTGTATCAATAAAGACAGGATCCTCACAGAAGACCCATCTCTCAACATCTTTCACATGCAACTTCCTCACTGATTCCCTGAGACTGATCTGTTATAAAAGTCCTGACCCCACATCAGATCATTAAATACAGCATGCTGCATTACTTCAATGTCTTCATGAAGAATGATCTTCAGCATCCCACAATGTGAAAGAAAGCAGGACTCAGTACTCGCTCACACAGGACAGAATCAGGGACTCCTGGAAGAAAGGGCAATCTTTAGATGAAGATGAAGCTATTTTTTCCTGACTTTGTAGAGCTTTAAAGGGAATAATTCACTGGACAAAAACTGTATCCCTGTCCAACTCCAGAACCCTGACAGTTTAATATCCAAAGCTTCTTATTAGACAGTTAATGTTAATTTTACTAAGATCCCAGGAGTGTAGGTCCTTAAAGACTAACTATGTAGATGGGAGAAATTAAAACTGCCTGGTATCTTGACCCATGAGGTTATATTTGCCTTATTTGCTTTTCATTATATTTTCTGATCACCTCCATTCATATCCCTCAGAATGAAGTTAAGTGTTCCACTTTCATCATTCTATATGTTCCTTGTATATATGTTTTCAGGAAGACAATGTAGTATTTGATAATTAATCAGTGTACTGTTCCCTGGGGAAGACTGTTTCTCTTGTTCTAAGCATTCTGTTAGTTGCCTTTAGACTTTTGTTCATGGCAGGGACTGTACATTTTTTGAGAGAGCCAGGAAGTACATGGCAGGAATAAGAAGGAAGAAAGAGAAGGGGAAATTATATGATTATATTATAATATCAAACTATGTAAAAGGAGAAACCACAGAATGCATTATTGGGACTGTGCAGTGTTTCTGGTTTGGTTAGTGAACGAAGATCTAACATCAGATGACCTTGTAGAAGGGACTTGGAATTAAGACATTGATGGGCAAAGGAAACTATTTTAGCATAACTTCTCAGTTATGCTTATTTCTTAGCTCATATGTAGACCTCAACCTCATTTTAGGAATCAGAAGAAGATTTCAGGGGTCAATGAGTCTCACTGTCATTCTTCCCATTGTGGATGTATTAAATAAATATATTTTTCCTCCTTTTCATTACTAATTTGTCCCTTTTAATTGGATTGTTATGGACATGTGGCAGAACTCATCTTATTTGTGCACAGGCTGTTACCCCAAATCTGGTAAAATAAAGTAAATCAAATACGAAACAAAGTGCCTATCATAGAAATGGATACTATCCACCCATAAGCAGTGGATAACTATGTAGAAATCACTTGAGTTCATATATCCCAAAGCTAGACAAGTAAGTACATACTCAATTTGTCTTTCTGGTCTGGCAATACTTCTAACACCTTGCATACCAATTCTGAAATCTTTATATTACTAAAGTCTTATTTTTCTCTGGAATTTGGTATGATTCTTGTATATCCTAGCCCTGCTAATCCTGGTGGGAGATTCTCAACCTGTGGGTTGCAACCCCTTTGTGGGTTAAACAACCCTTTTCTGTGTTTTCATATCAGAAATATTATATATCAGATATTTATATTGCAATTCATAATAGAAGCAAAAGTATTCTTCTGAAGTAGCAATGAAAATAATTTTATGGTTGGGAGTCACCACAACACAAGAGGACCTGTATTGGAGTTCACAGAATTAGACTCCATCTTACAGCAAGCTGTCCCTGTGTGTTCTCTATGCCAGCCTATATTAAAATAACTCTCCTTTCTCATCACTACGGTGTTTCCTAAGAGCAGTGAAACCCCTATTTAGGAGCACAGATGAACACACAAAACCATACAAGCTCCCTCTTATTTAATTTTATAAAGACTGCAGGCTGCTTGAACCAATAGTTGCTTGTAGGTTTGTAATAATGCTATAGCCAGACATATAAGGAACTTGACTAACAATGCTGTTGGAGATGGGGTTTGTAAGTAACTGTAATAAAATAACATTTGAACTTGCTGGAATATTGACTTCATCTATTTTTGACTATATACTCTATCTAGTGTGGATAAATATTATTTTCATGTCCCTTTAGAAATGTCATGCAATAGCAATCTTATTGACCTGTGCATATTATTAAACATTTTTAGATATACACATGGTACTTAATGAATTAGTGTAAATGGCATTAAAACTCATTTAATCTCAAGTCTCTAGCTCAGGCTCAGTTTTTATAAATTGAGACGAAATTTTTTTTCTGTATTTTTAAATTAACTTGTAAAATATCAGGGACCAGAACATAAAACCCAAATAAGTTAACAACGTCATTTTGAAGGAAATTTTTGAGGATGTGGATTGATATAGAAGTAATGATTTGCTTTGACTTACTCTACAAATTAAATTACAATGATATGTCATTGAAGAGTAGCTTATTATGAGTTTTCTCAAGGCATCATGTCCTTATTCCTCAGACAATAGATAAAGATGTTCATGATTTGAGGGGCAACAGTGCATATTAGTGAAGTCACTGTAGTCCTTCTTGTTAAAAAAAAAGTGTAGAGCTAATGCAAATACTTAATGCTCTCCCACTGAGCAGAAACAAAATTAAAAAATGAGACCCACAAGTGGAAAAGACTAAATGCCTGTCTATAACTGAAGGCATTCTTAAAACTGAAGAGATATATTTGAAATAAGAGAAAATCATTTGAAAAAACAAACAATGTTATAATGTATATATAAGATCATTGTTGATGAGGGTGTCAGAACAGGTGAGTTTGATGAGACGAGCAAGTTCATAGAACATGAAGATCTCCAGTTTTGTTGCGGGACAACGGCAACAACATCAGATCCAGATCAAGCTGTAGACTATTCTCAAGGTGTTATGAAACACCAAGACCAAAAGCAAGTTGGGATGGAAAGGGTTTATATGCCTTACACTACCACATTGTGGTTCATCAGTGAAGGAAGTCAGGACAGGAGCATGACTGGAGGCCCCAGTTGTTTCAAAGGTCATTGAGAGGTGCTGTTTACTGCTTTGCTCAGTATGGCTTGCTCTCACCCTGCTTTTTATTTTTGTT